CATTGAAAACCGGATAATCCGTTCCAATGGGAACAGATTGCCGTCCTTAAGTGAAAATCGCCATAGGAAACATTGCTAAGCGAAACAAGGTTCCCCAATTGAAATGCATCGAAATGTATTCAGTGCATCTCAATGGGGGAAAAAAATTACAACAAATTTAAAAAGAGTCGGAACAAAGTCAAATCAGTTTAACAAAGGGTTTATTAAGTGCACTTATGATTTCAAGCATTCTAAACATTTTTAAGCATCTTTAAACATTTAAAAAACAGCCAACATGAGGCTGTCAAAACCATCATTAAGCAAAACAGGGGGACCCAAACTGTCATCACTATGCGAAGCATGGTCTCAAACATCACTATGTGAAAATCGCCCATAGGAACCATCGTTAAACGGAGCGCAAGATTGCTCTGAAAAAGTCATCGCTAAGCGATTTCATCATTAAACGAAGCAATCGCTAAGCGAGGCACCACTGTACTCTAGTTTTACTTCACTTAGATACCTAATCAGGAGGCATGCTTATGGTAATGTATTAGGTGTGTTTTTAAATTCTAGTGCAACTTGCCCATTTTTTTTCATGTCAAGTTAACAAATAAAAGCTATCTTAAGAAGAAGCCTTGTAATTTTGAAAAATAAAACTCCAGTATCTGTTCATAGTAAAAAAATCCGCATTACCCTTCCCTTCCTCTAGGGGCAACCTTGGGACTGTGCAGCTTGCCCAAGGCTACACAGGCTGGCTCTTCTGGAATGCACAGTGGGGGAATCGAACTCCCAACCTCCATCTCCCCAGCCAGATACCTACTGTTCTCATGGTAAACTAAAATAATCTAACTTTAACATATTCAAAATCCTTACAACTGTCACGATTCTTCTGTACGGCATCCGCTTCAAAAGATGGCATGCAACTCATACAATTGCTTGGACTCTTCCAGGGTTCCCAGAATTTCATCGGAACTCTCCTACACCACCCCTGTTTTTCAATTTATCTTAATTTTGCTAGATATTTTCACTTAAAAAAATGGAGAGATGTCTTTTGAGTGTCTCATAAGGCTCAGTTTATTTACACTTACGGTAAAGGTGTGCAAGGGGTACATTCAGACAGTGCAGCATTAAATTATATAGAGCTAGACAATCAGCTGTAAACCTAAAAACAGACATTGATTTGAGCGGCGTCACCCGTCTCCCCAGAACGGGGCTCACAAATGTTCCCAAATGATCCATGCTTGCAGAAGGAACCTCCTAGATGAACGGGCCCGATTCTTTTCGTCTGCAAAGGCCGAGAAGGCAATGGAGGGACACAGTGACCATGGAAGCTACCGTTTGCTACAGATTTCTACAGAGAATATGTAACAACGTCAGATGGAATCCTTCCCTTGTCATTCAGACCAAGAGGGAAGGGAAAAGCCAGCATAACCAATGGTAAGGGGGGAAACAGCCAAGCCTGTGAGGTTGACCAGTGTGAAATGCTGCTCGGACACAAGTGTGGTCCAGGTTTTGCACACCTCCGGTTTCTGGATCAACTGAAATTCAGAATTCCAAAAACCCTCAATTAGTACTTTCTGAGAAGATCACGCTCCCTCAGTACCAGAGGGCGCTCCAGCCTGTAACATATGCCTATATTATTTCCAACCATGTCACGTAAAAGGTGTTCGTTAAGACATGCAGAAATGGTTTCGGGGTTGTGTTCAGGTACAATTAAATGCCCTGGTGCACTGAAAAAGCCCTACGCAGCTTGAGAAGCACCCACGATCAACAGGCATCTGTTTATACTGTTTTAAAAGCAGTGTTTACTAACCTGAAAAAGCCGGGGAAACTTAAAACACGAATCTTAAGCGAAAAACGTAGTGGGACAGCTGTAGGAAATCCCTTCCAGTTCTCATGAGCTGAGACTCTAAAGTCATTATTCTCAAGGTCTATCAGGAAAAAAAAATCCCCCACCATTTTAATAACCACCTTATTCCTCCCTCCCCAACAAAGAGCATTCTCTGATGCTCTCCCTGGGAAGTCCGGATGGTTGCCTGCAAGATCAGTAAGGCTGGAAACAGACGAGGAAGCCAGAACATGCAAGGCTTCGGAGATCCATGATTGGATTTTGAATCTTAAGCGAAAAACATAGTGGGACAGCTGTAGGAAATCCGTTCCAGTTCTCATGAGCTGAGACGCTAAAGTCATTATTCTCAAGGTCTATCAGAAAAAATATCCCCCATCATTTTAATAACCACCTTATCCCACCACTCTCTGATGCTCTCCCTGGGAAGTCCGGATGGTTGCCTGCAAGATCAGTAAGGCTGGAAACAGACGAGGAAGCCAGAACATGCAAGGCTTCGGAGATCCATGATTGGATTTCCCTGCTTTCCACAAAATAATGGATTAAACGCATGCCTGTCCGGGTTTGGCTACTGCTCCAATCAAAACGGGAGTCCTTCCTTGGCAGCTTTAAAGAAAGCCCACAAGAGATATCTAACCACTCATCTTCTCTGCCACTTTGATCTTTGGCCCTAAGGCATCAAACAGGGTCGCGGCGAGACACCGGCTTTTCTGTTCTCACAGCAGTTTATGCAACAATAAGGGAACGCTACACTCTACTGATTCTCTCTCCCCCACCCCCATTTTATAAATACAATTGAAGAAACATTACAAAAATAAATAAGAAGTGCAAACCATCCATCAATCCAGAGGGCCATCCTTTGGCAGCCCGAGGCTTAAATCTGAATGATGATAGCTGAGGTACAGTATCCTGCGGCTGAATTCAGCAGACAGTTTAAGAGCATGCTCACCGCTTTGTGGTTTCACAGCAAACCACGGAAAACCGCTTTCAGGCACACTCACATCATTAGAAAACAACTCTTGAATTAATCATCAGAAGGCAACAAGGAGATTTAAAAAACCACTCTCCTCTTCCCTACACCCTCCTCCCTTCTCCAGTTCTTTTAATTAGCAAAATTCCCAAATGAATGAAACAGACTTAGTTTGGGGGGGGGGTGTTCCCCAAGACAAGAGTGCCAGGTGAACATGCACATAATACCACAATAAGATTTGTGTTTAAGTCTATGACTCGTAATATCTGATAATTTGCACTGCAGCAAAAGGGACATTTTTATGTAAAGCAGGCCTCCCCAAAAAACAGTGTATCCACCACCCCGAGATTTCAAAAATTACAAACATAACGCCCAAGAATGAATGTTATGGCCTGACTATTGGTTAGCTTTTGTTGAATGAAGTAGCAAACTAGCCTCTTACTATTTCACACCAAAATCGGGAGGTGCCATTTTGGAATGATTTCTCATAGAAGTGGTTTCAACAAATCAAAAAACACGGACAAGAAAACTTATATCATGGATCACTCACTGCTTGTACCTATTCCCCTACCTACAGAGAACTTCCTTTTCCACGGAGAAGCACTCAAAGTGAAACCCTCAAACCACTTGAAGAAATAATCCTGTCTACTCTATCCCACCCTCATTCTGCCAAACTCGTAGATCAAGGTTTAGAAACATGGTCATTTGGGGTGGAATGAGATCCTAATATGAAGGGTCTCCTTGTGCCTTATTTCATGGAAAGAAGGACAGTTAAAGTGCGAGCAGATAACAAATACAAAAGGTACTATTCACAGATGGAAATCTTCACAAATGCTAGTCTTTTTAGTGTGGAACAGTGGGGAAAAAAATCAATGATTTAAAAAAAAAATCAAATTGAGTTAAATCACAACTTAAATGTTTAAAAATGGATTTTTCAATTTAAACGGTCCAGCAACCCAATGTTTAAATTGATTTTAATCACTATTTAATTTTTAATATTTTTTTTTAAAGTTAAATCAGCTTGATTTAATCCACAATTCTCTCAGAATCTAAGATTTCTACACAACTCTGGGCAGCCTAGTCGACACAGTCCGTGACTCCAAAGTAAGGGGTCGCAATTCATGTGTGCCTCAAAAAAAAACACCTTTTTTGGAGGGCTGAACCACACCTCGGAAAGTTTTGAGCTTTATCAGCAAAGTTCAGGCGTGGCATGAGATTTATCTTCATTCCCACCTTCCCAAACTGAGGAAAACATTTAGGTCTGGGAAACATCAAACCCAGAGCCTCATACTTGAGGGTTAGCCCATTTCACAGATGATCTGAAATAAGATTTTTCCGTGCCCTCTCCAAGTAGGATTAGAGGCTTGGGAAAAGTCAAGTCATGAAGCCAACCTGGGTGAGGAGAAAATGTGGGCAGTCGGGCAGCAGAGGAGGCAACGGCAGGCAGTGGAAATTCTTGAGCTGCTCGTCTGTGAAAAATGAAAGGTGGGCACGCAAGTGAGTGCCCAATGGGAAAGGGGAAGAGAACCCGCCATTTTATTTAGTACCTTCAAACCTGAGTACTCTTGTAAGTTTTGTCCTTTGTGTCACAAAGCCACAGACAGCTTCTGCTGGGACTGGCTAAGGACTACAGGCACTATACTCTCCTACACTGGGAGGACTACACGCTCCATGAGCTGGTCTACTTAGACAGGAATACGCTTGTTCCTTTTAATAGGTCCCTTGTGCAGTTGGCCCCAATCTCTACCTCTATGCCATGCTACCTAGGCCACGTTTACCCAAACCTCTTGGCCTCCAAGCGTGTGGAACGCCAACTCCCAGCCTTTGCACCCTCCAGATGTGGACTCCAAAGCCCATCATCTCAAACATCGCAGACGGTACGATGGGAACTTTAGCTGAACCCCTATGGAGGCCATCAGGTGGTGATGAAGGGTGGTTTGCATGCAGGACCCATGTCCTATCTGGATTGAAAGGGAACGTCCTATTTTAACAGAGAATCTAATCTCAATGTATTCTCGAAGGCTTTCATAGCCAGGATCTGATGGTTGTTGTGGGTTTTTCGGGCTGTTTGGCCGTGTTCTGAAGTTGGTTCTTCCTAACGTTTCGCCAGTCTCTGTGGCCGGCATCTTCAGAGGACAGGAGTCAGAACGCTGTCTGTGCTCTGTTCTGACTCCTGTCCTCTGAAGATGCCCAGCCACAGAGACTGGCGAAACGTTAGGAAGAACCACCTTCAGAACACGGCCAAAGAGCCCGAAAAACCCACAGCAACAATCTAAACTCGCTCTTTCACGCCTGCGGTTTGGTCACCAATATGCTTTCTGGGTTTCCCTTTGGTCTAGCCACTCGCATCCCAGTACAATTCACCGGACATTTTGCATACCCCCTAATTCACTGCATTTTGGTGTTTAAAGTTACAGTTTGGTTCTTAATGAATCCACACAAACACCCCAGCTAAGTTTTGGTTTTGGGTAGACGAAAGAGAGGGGAAAATAAATACGATGGACACGCAAGTGGAGGTATTATGCCCGTCTCTGAAGCAAGAGTCACTCCCTTTTGCTACGTTCCATGACTCGGTATGGTGGCCCCGAGGCGCCTCTGGACCCATGCTCCTCCTGGACAACGGTCAACGTGGCAGGGGCGTAGATCTCAGAGATGGTGTCGTTGCTTTCCAGGGCTCCATAAGAGAAGGACGTTTTGAGGTCAGGCTGTACGGCAGTCCCATTATCGTGTAAATTCTGCATGCCTGTAAACACAAGATAGTAAAGACAAGAGCGCAGAAGGACAATATGAAAATGGGTTTCTCTGTCTATATCAAAGGTCAGCAGGATGCGGGCGTTGGACTAAATGAGGGTCCCCAGAGGCCAAACCAGGCCCCAAGTATCCCTGGATCCCCATATCCCCAGGATTATGTAGAATGGCCGCCTAGAGTAGTCCACCACGACCCTGTAAACACAAGATAGTAAAGACAAGAGCGCAGAAGGACAATATGAAAATGGGTTTCTCTGTCTATATCAAAGGTCAGCAGGATGCGGGCGTTGGACTAAATGAGGGTCCCCAGAGGCCAAACCAGGCCCCAAGTATCCCTGGATCCCCATATCCCCAGGATTATGTAGAATGGCCGCCTAGAGTAGTCCACCACGACTAGATAGGCGTCAAGTATCCCTGGATCCCCATATCTCCAGGATTATGTAGAATGTTTCTAGAAAACACATTTTGGCTCAGAAATTCCCCCATGGCACTCAAAGGAGTTATAGGCACATTCTGCATCTGTTCATAGAAGTCAAAAGTGGGCTGTCCCCCAGGATCAAGGCTTGCATTCTTCCATCCTTAGACCCTGGACAGCCACACCCTCTCCCAGGACTGGAGACCCGGGTTCAATTCCCACTTCAGCCATGAAGTTTACACTGAGCAACGATGGGCCATCAACCTAAGCCTACCTTATAGGGTTCTTGTCAAGCTAAAATGAAGCAGCAGCTGTGCTGGCTTGGGGAAAAGCAGGAGACAAGCGTGATAAGAGAGATTGACTTTTCTCAGGCAAACTCCAGGAATCAGATATGGTGGGAGACGGAAGAGGATGTCACCACGGTCTGTGTGCGTCCAGACATCTCTGGTACATTTATAGGGACGGAAAGACAGGCAGACATTTTAAGCTAAAAAGGAAGTCTTCTCTGTTACCTGGCATAGCATCCATGGAAATGTAAGGTTCAAAAAAGATGGATTTCCTCTTGTTTCTAGTGATCAAGAAGACACCTAAAAATGCAGTGAGGCACCTGGGGTTTGGGTGGGGAGAGAAAGATAGAGTTACGTACATACATACATACCCTGTTTCCTCCAAAATAAGACCTAACCTGAAAATAAGTCCTAGTGGGATTTTTCAGGATGCTCATCATATAAGCCCTACCCCCAAAATAAGTCCCAGTGAAGTGAAACCCTGCCCTCCACCATTGTGCAGCAACCAGAAGAAGATGACGTGACTGTATTTGAATAAACATAAATCGTCCATGAAAAAAATAACGCATCCCCTGAAAATAAGCTGTGATGTGTTTTTTGGAGCAAAAATTAATATAGGACCCTGTCTTATTTTCGGGAAAACATGGTACATACATACACATTCTCTCTCTCTCTCTCTCTCTCTCTCTCGAAATGAACAGATAGGCGGGGTATAAATAGAATGAATGAATGAATGAATGAATGAATGAATGAATCTCTCTCTCTCTCTCTCTCTCTCTCTCTCTATCTCTCTCTCTATCTATCTATCTATCTATTTTGTGAGTGTGTCTTCTTATAATCCTATCCATTCACCCATCCACTTACCAGCATCACCCCTCTATAGTGCTACTGCTTTAAAGATTCTGGTGCAGTCACAGGAGAAAGATGATTGCTCTCCAAGGTTAATGTGAGTGTGTCCTCTTATAATCCTATCCATCCACCCATCCACTTACCAGCATCACCTCTCTATAATGCTACCGCTTTAAAGATTCTGGCGCAGTCACAGGAGAAAGATGATTGCTCTCCAAGGTTAATGTCTGAGAAGGAAAGGCACTCTTTGTTTCCTTCTGGAGCCGTGGTGAGCAAAGCGTACCCCACAAGCCACTGTTGTGCTACCCCTAGACTCCACATCCATTAAAAAAGGTCCAGGGAACAGGATTTTGCCCGCTGCACTGCAGGATATTGCCTATCTTCGCAAGCATAATGGCTAAAAAACTGAAGTGCTGTCTGATACCTTTAAGACTACCAGATTAGGGCATGAGCGTTTGACTGAAATCTACAAAAAGCTCATCGATAAAGAGATTTGCCCATCTTAAAAGGTGCCATGCTGGGATTTTGCTGCAACCGAGTCACCCAGCGAAGCCTCTGAAATAAGACTTCAATGTTCTGCTCAGAAAAATGAAAATGCAGAATTCCGGGCCCAGGAAAGAATGGTGCCACCCAGTCGTTTTCTTTAAATGCTATTTATTGACAGACAAATATCACATTTTTTCTTATTTCAAAGGCTGATAGAACCATTCAGGATTATGACTGATGCGGGCTTCCAGGAGAAACCACATTAGGCCTCAAAGCCTCCTAGCCTCAGCCACAGGTTCACAATATGAAAAATGAAACCATACCCACAAATAACACCAGCCTCTCATTCACCGGCGGAAATCCCATTAGACTTGTAGGAGCCTCGTGGAGGAGTGGTTAAACTGCAGTACTGCCGTGAAGACTCTGCTCATCACCCGAGTTCAATCCCAACAGGCTCAAATAGCTGGCTTGAGATTGACTTCTGACATTGGTAAATTGAGTACCCAAGCTTGCACAGGGTGGGGTGGGGTAATGCGTAACCTGAATAATGAAAGTGTAAACTGCCCACAGAGAGCTTTAATTACTATGGGGCAGTATATGTAGCCTGAATAATGAAATTGTAAACTGCTCAGAGAGAGCTTTAATTACTATGGGGCAGTATATAAGCAGCCTATTTATCATGATGTAAAGTTTGATTATGTCTGAGGAAGTTTACGGGAAGTTATGTCCAGACAGTCCATGCGTCTAGTTTCCTAACTCTTGAGGGACTGTGCTTCCCAGATACAACTGTGTAAAGTTCGATTATTGTCTGAGGAAGTTTATGGGAAGTTATGTCCAGACAGTCCCTGCGTCTGGTTGCGTAACTGCTTGAGGGACTGTGCTTCCCAGATACAACTTGGCGCAGATTTTGCAACTTTCAGTTACACTGGGATCGCTGTGCAACAGGACTTGGGTTACTCCATCTGCTGACACTGGAGTAAGGCAACTGTTAAGGCCTCTGAGATGCAGTGAAATGGAACAGCTGGAAAACAGGCCTCCATATGTGGCGACTGAAGCAGAAGTCTGCACAGAGAATAATTTTGCAAACTTACCCCAAAGCAAACATGCAAATGTGGAGTACGTCTTCCCTGATAAAGTCCAGGTAGAATGTCGCACCTGATCCAGGGAAGGACAGAAACGCAACAGTTTGTTCACATGCAGTCACATGCAAAATACAAGGCTGGAGCCACCAAAATCTTATTAGCATAATAATGTACTCATTTTATTTTTAAAAGGATTAAAATATGAGGGCAAACACACACAGAGAAAAAAAAGCAAAAGATGGCCAAGGATTCAAGCCAACAACAGATCCGGTGAACCAATAAGACTCACGTTAATGCTGACTTATCTGATTTCAAGGTTTATTCCAGTTGGCTCCTGATTTGTCAAAAAGCAAAGGTCAGAATCCTCTTGCGCAGCTACACAAATGGTGTAACTTTCAGAGCCAAAGTGCCCCAAGTTAAGTAGACATTATCAGTTGCACGCTGAGTCGTACAACTCAATATGCAGCAGATAAAAACATGATCATTTAGAGAGGCTTTTCTGGACCTTGTAACATCCTAATAAAGTGGTTGTTTTAACATATTTATATGATCAGCCTTGCCTCTATATCGTTTTAATCAGTTTTAGTAAAATTTGTTGGTGTGTTTGTGTATAATTTAATAATTATTATGTTTACTGTTTTAATTGTTGTTTCACGTTATACCCGTATTTTTCGCTCCATAAGACGCACAGACTTCCCCCCCCCCTGTTTTGTGGGGGAAAAGTGCATCTTATGGTGCGAAAAAATACGGTATTTGTTTAACATGTAAAGTGCCTTAGCAGCCAGATGGGCAGTTTAAAAGCCCAATCAATCAATCAATCAATCAATCAATCAATCAATCAATCAATCAATCAATCAATCAATCAATCAATCAATCAATCAATCAATCAATCAATCAATCAGCCAGCCATGTCTTGATTTAATTTGCCTCCAAACATTATGCTATTTGTGGTACGGCAGCATAACTAAGCAAGACAATTTGAGCCAAAATAACTTGGAGCCTTCCATGCACACAAATTCAGAAATTACTTCCACACACAAAACATAGTTTACAAACTTTGAAAACAACGAGGGAAGGAATATTATGCAAAGACGGATCTGCTAAGAACCTCACTGAAAGAGCATAGGAGCTTTGCTGTGCAGCCAAACAGCAGCTGATTTCTTAACCCATGGCAATTTGCCACCAAGTTGAACGCTGATTGCGTTACGCCGGTGTAAAAACATAGCAGGAGTCTGCTACATTAAAAGTATAAATCATGTCTGAGTCACTCAAACTGTAGACATTTTCTGCTGCTAAGAGACAGAGAAAGGAGCCTATTTTGGTTGACAGGACAGATCAGCATTTCAATTATTTTGATGTAATTTATTTATTTTACCTGCAGTGATGGCGACTGCAGTGGACAAGATGTAACCCACGCCAGCGATCTGGCAGGCATCATACAGCTGAGAGGCTTGGGTTAAAAACCTGCAGTGAAACGTAAATCATATTAAACCCAGATAACATTGCAGAAGAAGAAAGGGCAAGGGAGAATGATTTGAAAAGATTTCACTAGAAAGAAATGACATCAAGAGGGGGAAAAAACAATTTAAATAGACAAGACGCAGGAGACAGAATGGTAAGATGGTTGGCCCGCTAGATGAAAAGGGAGTTAAAAGATGTGTTAAATAAAGATAAGGGGATTGGAAAGAAAATGAATGAATTAACTGGTTACGTCTCCCCTGAGAATGATATGAAGCAGATGGCAGCGCATTTTCAAGAAGGTGCCTGGAAAATTAAGAAAAACAGTAGTGACAAGAGATTATATCTGGACCTTATTAAGAAGCTAAACATTAAACAATAATTAGGTTCCAGTGGTCTCTAGCCAGGAATTCAAGCACAAAATTTCTCATATTCTCTAACAAAAATATCCGTGATGCTGGGCAAAGGACTGGCAGTAAAAAAATATCCTTTTTCTGAAATGTGATCGGAAACTGAAAAGCTACTTTGCTAGCATCTCCTTAAAGGAACAATTGGGGGGAGAATATCATTCAAGGTAGAATTATCAGACCATTAAAAGAACAACGCTTGCTACGAAGGTAACATCTGTGAAGGTAAGTCTGGCCACATATCAAGTTCCCAACGCTGGGTAATCCAGGTGTTCATGGACTGCAACTCTGGCCACATAGCAAGCTCCCAACGCTGGGTAATCCAGATGTTCATGGACTGCAATTCATGGACTGAAACTCCAGCCAGCACAGCTGGAAGTGAAGGCTTCTGGGAATTGTAGTCCAAGAAGACCTTGGGTTACCTAAGGTCGGGAGCCACCTGTAAGAGCATCAACAAGCATGTACACAGGAAGGATACACTGGATATGGTGTGTTTGGACTTTTAGGAAAACCTCTGAAGGGAAACCTTCAGGAAGTACCGGCTAATGCAATGATCCCTTTTATGGAGGAATAAATGGTTAAATGGGACGTAGTGGCGCTGCGGGTTAAGCCGCAGAAGCCTCTGTGCTGCAAGGTCAGAAGACCAGCGGTTGTAAGATCGAATCCACGCGACGGAGGGAGCTCCCGTCGCTTGTCCCAGCTCCTGCCAACCTAGCAGTTCAAAAGCATGCAAATACGAGTAGATAAAGAGGTACCACCTCGGTGGGAAGGTCACGGTGTTCCGTGTCTAGGTGCGCTGGCCACGTGACCACGGAAACTGTCTACAGGCAAACGCTAGCTCTATGGGTTGGAAAGAGGAGATGAGCACAGCCCCTTAAGAGTCGGACACAACTGGACAAATTGTCAAGGGGAACCTTTACCTTTACCTAAATGGTTAAAGAACAGGACGCAGGGAGCAGGAATAAAGTGGAGCGCATGATCGAGCAAGAGTGGTGCTTTTGAACTTGTTCATGAGTGATCCAAATGAAAGATGAGCAATGGGGTGATATTTCCTAAAACTCCATATTACTGAGGGCAGTAAGGGACTCTGGATCCTCTGTATTTGGCTCAAAAATGGCAAGTATGAGCCAATGAGAGAGAGAGACAATGAGAGAGCGAGAGCGAGAGAGAGAGAGAATATGCACACCCCAAAGAAACACCGTTTCCCAGATAACTAGATGCTAAGGAGGAAAAGCAACAGGCCATGAGCTGCTCCATCATCACGCCCTGCTTGCAAGCTGCACAGGCGCAGTCTGGCTGCCTTCTAGTGGACGCCCCAGCGCTACACTGCGGGTGCACATGCCTTCCTGCGTCAGATCGTTCTGATGCGTTACAGTGCCTAACTGGGAGCATGGGCTCTGAGAGCGAAAAACATCCTTCAAAAGGCCAGAAAGGATTTTAAAGACCAAAAAATAATAATTAAGTAACTACTCAAAGGCCCACCTCCTGCCAACTCCCAATTGTAACAAGAAATATAAGTGCCTAGCTTTGCTTTGAGGTTGGGTTTGTTCCCCCCCCCACAAAAAAAAGTTTAATTCATGTTCATTAAATTTTAATTAAGCTGACCTTCAAGCATGAGCTGCAGCTGGAGAGTATGATTTTTTAAAGAAAAAAAAGGAATAAGGGAGGATGCTCTGACCCACTTACGTTGCTTGAAAAGCTGACGTTGCCACCATGCAGACCACCATAATGTAGAATATAGGGTAGCCGAGCTGCAGGTTCCCTCGTATCGAAACCACGATCATCCCTGCCACTGCCTTCACGGTGATGACTGTCATGGAACCTGAAAACATTTTTTTGGGGGGAAAAGAATCATCCTTTGCTGGAGAGCAAAGAAAGCAGAAGTCACTGCAGATGGGGGTCAACCAGCCTGTGCGCCAGCGGTACTCATGGGAGTGCTAGATTTACGTTGTACATTTCTTGTAGTGGAGGTGCACCCATACCTCCCTTCCCCTCTTAGTACGACACACACAGGCATCAACACACAACTTTATCTTGTATTTGGTAGCAGTCTCCAAGAGCTTAAAGCTGTTAGAAGCAAATGTTCCTCCAATTGGATTTTGATCCTTTCTTCTGCAATAAACTCAAGATGACTTACAAACACCCCCTTGCACCAAAAAAAATCAACAACACACACCCCAGTTCCAATGACAACAGAAATTACAAGCGGTACAATTCATTTGATACCAACACTCTTTATAGAATGTGTTCCATAGTCTCAATGCTGCCACGGAGGAGGCCCCCCCATCCTGACATCCCAACCAAGGATAATCCAGAAAGCCAGAGGGAGCTTAATGGGGTCTCCCTAGTGGAACACAGCAGGAGGTCTGAAAACAGTGGGAGGTCACTATCCTTCACACACAGCCTGATCCTGGGGCTTCACAGGATTTCATAGGCTTCAGGGTTTCGTAGGTTTTTGGGTCCTCTGTATTTGGCTCAGTTTGGTTGCGAGCTCTGAAACACATCTGAAGATGCTTCTGAAGGACCGTCGCTCAAGGAGACAGCCTGTGCTTTAAGTGCTGAAACATCTACATTCAAGTCTTCAACGTTACCAGTTAAAATGATCAATCAATAGAAAACGGGGGGGGGGGGGAGCCCTCTACTTGGGACTTTACAGAACCACTGTCTGCCAGATTAGACAACACAAGGCAAGATGGACGAATGGTAGCCTTCCAACAACCCATGCGCCATGATGATGGGTGTGATACCATCTCTGGGGTGGGTCAGACGAACTTCACAACTTTTTTAGGATCATTGGAGCAAATCCTCCCCCACCCTTCCAGCTCTAAAATCAGGAAACCAGTCAAGCACTGGTTGGCAGCTGTGTTTTGAAGATCTCAAAATAAATAAATAAATAAAAATCTCAAGGCACTTGGAACCAAAGGACCAATCCTTGCATAGGAGCAAAATGGCAGGCATGTTGACCACGGCTCGTCAGATGCAACTTTGGGAAGCCATGTTAAAAAAAACTATGTCCCATGACCTTTTGGCTCCCCCCTCCAGAAAGATGGGGATGTTCCAGGAAGATCACAATGGAGGCAAGATCCAAACCAGGACCTTCTCAATGTGCTGCTCAGTCTCTTAGCTTCTCTGTGGTATCAGCTTTGACTGGCTAAGCTGTACTTCATGGAGCAGGGAGGGCAAAGTCTTGCCAGCTTCAAGAAGACAGTCACTAAACCATCTCTACTATTTCAGAACCAAAGATCTGACCACTAGATCGGAGCGGGACCACCTATCCAGTGGTTCCCAACCTCAGGTCCCTAGATGCAAACCACCTCTACTATTTCAGATCCAAAGAACTGACCACTAGATCGGAGTGGGACCACCTATGCAGTGGTTCCCATTCTTTGGGTCCCCAGATGTTCTTGAACTACCACTCCCAGAAATCCTGGCCAGAATAGCTAGTGGCAAAGGCTTCTGGGAGTTTTAGTCCAAGAACTTCTGGGGACTCCAGGTTGGGAATTGATCTAGATATTGTTGGACTGCAACTCCCACCAGCTAGCACAGCCAGTGGTGAAGGATGCTGGGAACTGAAAACCAACAACTTCTAGAAGTCCACATGTTTCTCGTCCTTGCATTATATTCTGCCTGCTATTTCTCCTCTCCTTCACTCCCAACTGTTGCAGCTTAACACTCCAGTAAACAAAGATTCCTTTAGCATCTCAACAGTGATTTCGATATACAGTGGTGCCTCGCTTGACGAGGATAATTCGTTCTGTTGAAATCGCTGTTAAGCGAAAACCTCGTCAAGCGAAACGAAAAAGCCAATTGAAATGCACTGAAACTGGTTCAATGTGTTCCAATGGGCTAAATACCCCAGCGTCCAGCGAAGATCCTCCATAGTGGCGGCCATTTTCGGTGCCTGTAAAGCGAGGAATCCGTCCTAAAACATAGCGGGGAGCCGTTTGGAACAGCGGGCGGCCATTTTAGAGCCGCCGATCAGCTGTTTAAAAATCGTCTAGTGAAAAATCAGTTCCCGAAGCAGGGAACCGATCATCATCAAGCGAAATTGCCCTAGCTAAACATTGTTTTGCAACCGCAAAAGGGATCGCAAAAACTTCATCATCAAGCAGTTTCATTGTTTAACGAGGTAATCGTTAAGCGAGGCACCACTGTAAGCTCATTTCATCGGATGCTGGCAATATTCAGCTTAGTCACAAGTCATGTTTTGACGCGTGGTTGGCAGAAGGGAAAACAGAAACTGTGAAGTCAAAGAGAAACGAAATGCAACTCATCCTGGTCCAACTGGGACTTAGATGTACATAAAACACATCATTAACTGGGGTAGGGGATAAGACAATCAGCTCAGAAATGCTGAGTGGGTCATCATCTGTCATAAAAGACATTGCTGGAACATCTGACTCGCTCGGGTAGCGAGGTTGAGAGAACAAGCTATGAGCCAGGAAATCTTCCACTCAACTTTTACCTCTGCCACCGGCAGCCCCAAATCCACAGAGATAATAACACCAGTCTGATTTACAGGACTGTTTTATAGATTGTTGGGAAGAGCATTTGAACACTTCAGAAAAGCCTTTTTCCAAACACTGGTATACGTTACTATGGCTACGGTGGCCTAGCTGTCGTCCTGGCCCGTGATGGGCAGAAGACGGATTAGACTCTACTGGTAGATTTCCAAGTGATTTGCTGTAGAGTGGAAAGATTTCTGACTCCTTGTGGTTTAAAAATAGCAACAAAAACAAAACATGTTTGTCCCTGTATATTTGGCCAGAAAGGGCTGGGAAAGACAGGAGATGATGACTGTCTGAAAGGATGTGGGCAGAATCTCAAATTCTGGGCTGAGCACATACCCCTTTCGAAGGCACTCCGTTCTGCCTCCAAAAAGCCAACTCTAGCATCAGAGTCGCCGCCTCAGGTCGCAGATCTGAGGTTTCACCTCAGGTCACCAAATTACTGCTTATTAGCTTTGTTATGAATGCACTTTTGCTGCCAAAAATGGGGAAAGAAAGCCGACGGAATCTTTTTGCTCAACTATGGAAAAAAACTCGGCTGGCTTTGAGTACGACACACCTTAATTTGGCTGATGCCAGGGGGTCATTTGATACTCCGTCTCAGGCAGCAAAAGGCACTGAAATGACTTTGAAATGGTCCTTTTCTGCTATATTGAGAATTATGCTCCATGTCTGTCAACAGACTATGTGCCAGCAGCTCTGTGTTTTCATTGGATTCAAGCTCATTCAGATTCTGTCTGGTTCATAAACATTTAATTTGCACACTGAACAACCTTTCTCTCTCTCTCTCTCTGTCATACACAAACTTCTGAAAATGAAACAAGTAAACAAGAGCCTCGTGGCGCAGTGGTTAAAACGCTGTACTGCAGCTAAAACTGTGCTCACGACCTGGGGTTCAAATCCCAGGTAGCCAGCTCAAGGTTGCCTCAGCCTTCCATCCTTCCGAGGTCGGTAAAATGAGTACCCAGCTTGCTGGGGGGGCAATGTGTAGCCTGTATAATTAAAATTGTAAACCGCCCGGAGAGTGCTTGTAGCGCTATGGGGCGGTATATAAGTCCAAAAAATAAAAAAATAAAAATAAAAATAAATAAATATACATCCTGGATCTGAAAAAGGCACCTATGCCAGACTTACCCAGAAGTGCCACCAACAGCAAAATCACGACTATGTAGTTAGCCTTCCTTTCCTTGTAGAAATAGAGCAGGAGGCAGAAAAGGATGATCTCCACCAGCTAAGGGGAAAGAGACAACAGAATATACACACAAAGGGAGGGAGAGAGAAGAAAGCCAAAATAAGGCCGGGTTTCAAATCAACACAGAGCCCCATCCCAATGAAATGACTAGGCGATTCCATTTCAGAAATGAAAAAGAACGGTCGTTTTACAAGAGGTAGCTTGTGTTTGTCTGCGCTGGCCGATCAGGTCAAAAACAAAACTGAAATTTAAAAAAAAAATAAAGAAGATAAATGTTGCAGCACCTTAACAACTAACGGTTAGATTTTTAAGGTCCCCTTCGTCAGACACAAAGTGCGTTTGGTTTCTTTATTTTTTAAAATTTTCCTTTTGTTTTTGATCTGCAAAAGGAGGAGCTCTCCTGCCTTCGCATTCCAGAAACTGGGCTTTAAAAAATCCAGCGCCAGCCCTATTCTGAAGAGCTCACGAGGAACTGCAGCATTTACTCCAGAGATTTTTTTTTCAACAAGACGGTCAATCATGGCAGACAGGCTTCCCTAAAAATCACCTTGAACCCCATCGTCTGTCGTGTGCAGTTGCACCAAAGACAGCCACACTGCTCTACACCAGTTGCTGGGAAATGGGCAGTTGCATTTTTTGACCTGCTGAGGAGTTTCTAAATGAAAATAGATTGGCACGGTGTGAATACAAGTGGTAGATTCAGCAGCCCTTGGTCTGATCCAACAGGCTTCTTCTTAAGTTTTTATGGGATTCTTATGTTGAGGGTGCATCTGAAAATGTGCAAGAATACAGTGTGGAAGGTGCTGAGCACCAGACCATATGGACAAAGCACCCCCCCCACACACACACACAAATAAATGCTCCAGAGTCCCCTGTAAGATCTTCTAGGGTGAATCCTGGGATTTTCGTCCCCTCAAAAAAAACAAAAACCAAGCAAGACATTTAAGTTTCCTCAAAGAAAATCTGAAAGCCCTTTCTGCAAGAGACGGCCAATTTTATTCCTTCTGTGAATTAGATTTACTAAGAACGCATTCTGTCCTAGGCAAACTTTCCTTCTCCACCTGCCAAACAGGCAGGTTTTGGGTGTGAAGGAGGCACAACCCATCCCTGGGGGGGGGCACCTCAGAAGAAAGAAGGGGACCTGTGCAGAAGATCCACAGGTCGATTTTGTCCGACGGGTCTCCATACCATATACAGAAGGAACGGCCAGCTGACTAAATGCTTCGTGATGTTCTCTCCGGTCATGGCCTCGTGACTGTTGGGCCCGAAGGTGATCAACAGGTACGTCCCGACGACGGCCAAGCCGCAGCCTAGGAAAGACAAAACATAGCGCCCTTGGCAGAGAGAAGAGAAAAGAAGCTTAGATTAGTACCTGGCTTCAAATCCCCAAAGCAGCCTTCACAAACACGCCAGAGGTCCACAGGAGTTAGAGCCTGTCTTTTCGCCCAGCAGGGCGCCCCTGGCTCGCCATAAAACTGGGGTTCTCTGAAATCTGGATCTAAATTCAAGCAACATGTTGGCCTTCGTGTGGTGGTGGCCAAAACCTGAAACCATTTCAGGAAAGGGCTCCGCCTTAGTCATGGACCCTGGGCCATAAATAACATTTCCCTAAGACCAGCCAGCACCGTTGTGCAGCACCACGACCCTAAATAACTTGGCAATCAACCTATACACAAAAATCACAAAGTTTATTTTTTTAACAATATCCACACACATTTGAGTAGAAGACCCGTTCTGGGTCCTCAAACAGCTTCTGGATGGAAACTGTCATGCGTAAAAGCTTCTGTCTAGGATCGTGTGTGTCTAATGGCAGCATCTTCTCACACACTGCTACAAATCTGACAAGGGAAGGTTTAGTGGCTGGCTGTACCATGTTGCACTTTTTGGCCCAGGGATCTAAACGTGCCAGCTTACCCGACCCGATGCCCCCATTAAGCCTCCCAGTGACATGAGGCCTGGCTTTTTTTTGTCTTGTACCATGAAAACTCAAATAACTGAAATCAAATAAAAAAGAGTCCTGTCTCTCATCACCCATCTCAGGCCCTCCACGTTAACAGGGATCATGCCAGGGAACGCTCCCCTCCTTCCAGGAGCATCTTTTCCACTCAAAACACAGCTGGTGACAACAGGGCTGGCAGAAGATGCTAAGCATCGCCCTGCAGGTTTGGTGCCGGCGGCTCTTCTCCCACTTTTGCCCACCTCTAGTTTGAGCCCAGAGGGAAGGACAGAGGAAGGGAGAAAAGCTTGAGCCCAGAGGGAAGGACAGAGCAATTAGCAAATGTTGCCACTGGTGTCCAGCCATTTCAGGGACTGGACTTGATGATCCATAGGGTCACTTTCCAGTTCTGCAGTTCTAAGATTAATAATAATAAATACTACAGTCGTGCCCGCTTAACGATTGCCTCACTTCATGAGGAAATCGCTTTATGATGAGGTTTTTGCGATCGCAAAATGATGTTTTAAATGGTTTTTTTTTTGCTTTTTGATGATCGGTTCCCTGCTTCGGGAACAGATTCTTCGCAAAACTATGTTTTTTGAACAGCTGATTGGCGGCTTCAAAATGGCCGCCGGCTTTCAAAATAGCCCCCCGCTGTTTTCTAGGGACGGATTCGTCGCTTTACAGGCACCGAAAATGGCCGCCATATGGAGGATCTTCGCAAAACGAGCAGGTATTCAGCCCATTGGAATGCATGGAAGGTTTTTCAATGCGTTTCAATGGTTTTTCTTCGTTTCGTTTGACGACGTTTTCGCTCTACAGCGATTTTGCTGGAACGAATTAACATCGTCAAGCAAGGCACCACTGTATTATTATTATTACTAAAGGAATACAGAGCAGACAGAAGCCATTTTAATTGAAAAACAGATGACAAAATCCCACATTTAATGCCCCCTAAACTGGAGAAATCACCCTCCATTCCAGGCAACAGCTTATATTCTGGCCTGTCCTTTTCTGGGCCCTTAGGAAACACAAGCCTCCAAGCAAGGGAAGTGTTACATAACAGCACTGATGTTACCTGTCTGTCATGGGTTTGGAGGGAAAGTTCCATCCTATGGGGAGTGGAAGGCGGGACATCAGGAGGAGGGGCTGTACTGTATAAATATGTGATGCCTGTGTGGTGAAGAAGGAGATGCTGAGACAGACTGTGAGACACTGGGTTGGGACGAAGCAGCAGCTGGGGAAGAAGAAGCTGTTGTGGGAGTCTGGGTGTCTGACAGGGTACTACTGTGTGTCAGAGTACCAACCTGAAAGGTTCAGGGGTCTGTGGGTTAGCCAGAACTGATGGGTTCAGGGTCTGTGCTTTAAGTTAAAGGTTCTAGGTGAACCAAACTGTATGCTTGTGTGTGTGAGAATAAGCCACGTTACTTTATTTTATTCACCCGATTGTTTTATTTACCCTGTTTGTATTTAAAATAAACCTTATTCTTTTATTGTTTAAAAATCCATCCCTGGTCTGTGTGACTTATTATAGGGAATGGTTGGTGGCAGCTTAGTAACTGTGTGATAGATCCCAGTAGGTCTGGGTTTGTCACATTGATTGGTGTCCAGCGTGTGGGATACGACTGGTCCAGTTGTCCAGCGGTCCAGCAAAGCCTTGGCAAGTGTGCCCAGAGCAAGGGGGGTCTAGTCAGGGACAGTCTGAGGCGCGTAGGTAATCTTCTAGGTGTACCTCACGGGGAGGTGCACTAGTAGAAGAACGTGCCAACTGGGGAGACTTAGATTAAGGTGCTCTGAGGCAGCCTAGTTTTGGCGGGAAAACGCTGAGGCAAAACTGCGTAGCAACAGCGAGCTAGCTTGCCAGCTGAGAGGCCCAGCAGAGGGGGGTAGGCTCTGACTCGATACTGTTGCAAATTTAGTGCTGAAGAACAGCAGCAATCTCTAGGGAGAGCTGGTTCTGAGGCAAGAAGGAAAAAAGTGGTCGTTTTATTTTGAGGCTTGACTTTTTAAAGCAGCCTGTTCTGAGGGGGGATTATGCCCTTGACTCGAAGCAAAGTAGCAGACATGAGTGAAGTGAAAGACCCCCAGATTGACCAAGGTTCTGAGGATGAATTTGGCTCAGTGCAAGGTGACAGCACAGGAGAGCAAGACCCAGAACTCAGAAAAATACTCATAGCCCAACAGCATGAACTGAGGGTGAGGGAAATGGAGGAAAGATTAGAGAGAGAAAGAAGAGAGGAAAGGGAGAAACAAAGGCAATTTGAATTAGAG